GGTGTCCCCAATCCCTGCGGCAGCTGCCCTTGAGGCCGCACTGCAGGACCTGCTAACCCCTAGCGTTTGCTAGGCTGTTCCATCTTTCAGGGGCCCTCGAGGCCAGAGTGCAGGTCTTGCTGACCCATACCATTGGTCAGGTTTTTCTCTCTTTCAGGTGCCCTTGAGGCCAGACCGCAGGATCGGTGTCCCGGAAATTTTCCGGAGTCTCCAATCCTTGCGGTAGGTGGCCTGGAGGGCAGCCTGCCAGACTTGGTGACCCGGAGATCTTCCGAGGTGTCTCTCTCTCACAGGTGCCTTCAAGGCCAGAGTGTGGGATGGCGGGAAGACGCCTGAGCCTGCTCAGGCCCTTTCGGATGAGGAACGAAGGCCCTGGAGCTGCCCCATCCCAGCACCCGGAGAAGATGGAGCAGTTGCATCCCCTGCAGGAAGGTGAGTGGCACAGCTGGGCCACATGCTGGTGGCTGCAGCTGGCTGTGCCTCATCCCATCCCGTCCCCTGTGGACATGGTCAGGGAAAGGGACAGGGGAAGAGGGCCTGGGACTGTTCCCCCGGCAGCTCCATGCACCGGGCATGCCGGGGCTGGCCCTGCCTGTGGAGCGCAGGGCTGGGCCGTGTTCTGCGGCCTGTCCCGCAGCCCCTCAGCTCTGACCGCGCTCGCTCTTTGCCAGATCCAGGACGGGACCGGACACAACAACAGGACCGTGGCCGTGGCCGTTTCCGCAGGGCAGTGCAGGTACCTGCAGCCATGACCTCCTGGGCTGGGCCTGCTCTCCCTGCTCAGCCTGGCACCGCTGTCGGAGCTCACCATGGCACATCCCTCTCTTCCCTGCTCTCCGTTCTTCTGCAGGCCTTTCTGAAATTCTTGGGCATTCGGCGTACAAGGACCACAACCACACCAACTGAGGTCGTGGACCAGCCTGAGCCCAGCCCGACTGAATTCGAGGCGGACCCTGTTTTGACTGCACTGCCTGATCTCACTGCGGAGGCCGACGCTGCAATGACCGAGGGCATTGAAGACGCTGACCTCATGCCCGGGGAGAGTGTGAGTTCTGCTCCCACTGCAGATATTTTTGAGGGGAATGGTGTCTCCAGTCCAAAGCAAGTAAGCAGCCTGTGCCCAAGGCTCAAGCCACTCCACAGGCTTGTGGCCCCTCAAGCCAGCTCCCCTGGGCCCTCTCAGCCTTTGAGGCCAGCACAGTGCGGTGGGAAGGGAAGCACTTGTCAGGGAAGCTGGGCAAGTTGGCAGCTCTTCCCCCATGCCTCCTGCAGGTGCCAGCCTTCGTCAGGAACGTGCACCAGAGACTGACAGCCAGCGAGACTCTGGAAGAGAAGCTGCTGAGGGAGTTCCTGAGGGTGACTGAGGCACACCCTGATGATGTTGTGGTGACCCTCCTGCGCTGTGCCCCATCATGTGACAGGTACAGGGCCTCCCTGCCTTCACGGCTCGAGGCTTACCAGCCTTCAGAGCACATCAGCCTGTCCATCCTGTCCCACGTGGTCTGCCAGAGGGATGGAGGGTTCCAGGACCATCTGGAGCCTCTGTTTCCCAGCCCTGCCATGTCAGCCCCCATCCTGCTGCCATGCTCCCTCCCTGCTCCTCAAGGCACTTTGGCCGGCACCCCCTGACACAGAACTCTGGCCCCACAGAGCTGCTGCCACCATGTGGAAGACCATCGCCTCATCGGCAAGGATAATGGAGAAGGTGCTGCCAAAGCTGCTCCGCGTGATGGAGAACTGGCCACGGCACAGCACGTCCACCTCCGACGGGGACAACACACATGTCTTTGGCCTGGCTGTGAGTTTCTGCAACTGGACTTTACTTGCCCACAGGTGGCTTCTCCAGCAGCTCTCCATCCTCCCCGAGCACTGCGTCTCCCTGCCTCAGGCACTGGGCTGGAAACCTGGCTTAGGGGCGGGTTCAGGGGCACCAGGCTGGGGGCTGCCCCTGCGTCTTCCCTGGCCTCTCCCTCCCACACCTGGGCTCTTTCCCATGGACGTCTGGGCACTGAGGGCTGTGTCCGGGTGGTTTCTCTTTTGCAGGCAACCAGGGTGATCTGGGAGATTCTCCAGATGCTGCAGTGCCCAGAGCCAGTGAAGAAGTATTCCCCCCGTCTCCTCGTGGATCTGCTCTTCCAGATTTCCATCCGCACAGAGCAGACACCAGAGGAAGTTGACACCTGGTGGAGGGAATGCCAGAAGCAATCCAACCTTCCCACAGACTCCAAGAGGTGCTCAGTCCCAGTCCTCCTGAGCCTCTCATGCCCTCGGGGCTGCTCAGGGCTCCCAGCATGATGACCTGGGCTTTGCTCTGCACACAGGTTTGCAGTGCTGACCACCAAGGCCCTGCTTTGTCATCTGGAGTGTGAAGCTGTCGTGCTTTCAATGGAACGGAAGCGCGGCTGGGACACACTCCTCAACTCTGACACCCACCACTATGCAGTGGGTCTGCTGGCCAGGTGAGACCCCCTTTTCCCCGCTGCCCCTGTCCTTTCTGCCTGTGCACGGGGCACCCCACACAGTGCCCGTGGTGGTGGGCCAGAGGGCCTTGTCAGCCACGGATGACTGAGCAGAGTGGCAAAGGCTGGGAGAGGTGGGTGCACAGGAGGAGCCGCCTCCCAGAGTGCCCTCATCCCCTCCCAAACTGGTGGGGAGAGACCAGGACTCTGTCAGTGAGTCCCGGCAGAGGTTTGCCCACCCGGCTCAGGGTTGATGGTGCCTGTTTCCCCCGGGCAGGGAGATGCGCCGTGCCTCAAGCCCCTTGTATTACTGGATTGCCCGCTGCCTGCTGAGGCTGCTCACCAGGGAGAAGCCACGCTGGGAGCTTCCTGCCATGGCATTCCTTGTGGAGGTGAGCCTGATGGCGAGCACTGCCTTGCTGACCTGCCTCCACCTCTCTGCCCTCTGGCAGCCGCAGCTGCCCGGGACGGTGCCGCGCCCTGTGCTGCTGCCTGGGCCCAGCCCGGTGCGGCTCTGGGCTCCTGCCGGCCGGGCACCCCATCACTGCTCCCTGCCTTTCAGGTCCTGGACTGCCTGAACACCACTGAATGGGGTGACACCTTGGTGAAGATCTTTTCAAGGTGCCTGCAGAGCAAGCGCACAGAGATGCGTCGCCTGGTGCTCAGAGGCCTCGTGGTGCTGAGCAAGAATCCTGTGATGGTGAGGAGGGGGCAATTGGCTGAAGCTGTGCCGGCAGCCTGGGGCTGGGGAGCCCAATGGCTTGGGCTTGGCTGGGACTTGCGCTCCCCTGGTCAAGGGGAGGTTTAGGTTGGGTGGTAGGGAAAGGTTCTTCACTCAGAGGGTGGTCTGACGCTGGAACAGGCCCCACTGGGGAGAGGTCACAGCCCCAAGGCTGCCAGAGCTCAAGGACAACACTCTCAGGGACACGAGGGGATTGTTGGGCATGGTCCTGTGCAAGGCCAGGAGTTGGACTCAATGATCCTTGTGGGTCACTTCCAACTCGGGATATTCTAGGATTCCACGATTCATGGCTTCACAGCACAGCATTGTGTTCCACACAGGCTGACGGCATGCGGACCCTGGCACCAAACCTCGCGGATGTCCTGTGGGATACAGACGGAGAGCTGGTCAGGATGGCCCTCTCTGTACTCGTCAATGAAATCCAGGACAGAGACATTCGAATCTCCACCCCCACTGCCCTGCAGCTGGCGGAGATGCTCCAGCCACTCTTTGGCAATGTAAGGCTCTGTGCCCCCCACCCCAGGCGCTGGCTGCTGCCAGGAAACTGTGGCCTGTGGATTTGCAGGCTTGTGCCCCGGCAGGCCTGGAGCAGCTGGTGCTGAGGTCTTTTCCTCTTCCTTTCCATCAGGACAACATCCATGTGCAGCTGCTCTCCATTTACCTCTTCCAAAAGGTGATGGAGTTGGGAGTGGAGGAGAGTAAACTCCTGAAGACCCACGTGATCTCCAGCCTGCTCCCACTTTTTTTCCAATGGCATAATGAGAACCGGGACGTGGCAGAAGTGAGAACTTGCAGGGTCTGGTGTCCCCGTGGGAGTGGGCTGGGCTGTCTCCTACCCTGGCACCTCAAAGGCTCCAGTCTCCTGCTGGCCTTGGTCCAGGGACACGGGTCCTGTGCCCTGGGCTGCCATGCCATGTCCTGGTCTCTGTTGCTCTGCAGGCCTCTCGGGAAGC